CCTGGGACACCAGCCCACGTGCTACGTGAAGCTCACCAAGAGATGAGCGCTCTGCATGATGAGGGGGTTTCCACCACCTCACAGAGCAGCTGGCAGGGCCAGTCTGTGCAAATGTCCCCGTCCTCTCCTGGGTGCAGCTGGGAGAGCTCACCGCCACCTCTTCAGCTGTGTCTACAGCCTGGCTTTGGCTCTTGCAACCATCTCAGAGCCTGGCACCCATCACTGCTGATAAATAGGTGGTCCTGTTCTCCTGGGTTGGCCCTGTGTGTCCAGGATTAGCTGACGGTGTCAAAAAACAGCGTCAAAAAACAGTGGCAAGACAAAAACCCATCCCAGAGCCATGGAAGAGGAACAGCATGAGTCAAGGTCACAGCCCGGTGGAGCACCCTGTCACAGATCAACCATTTTGGGGCAGGGGAGCTGGAAGACTCAGGCTAAGCTAAGAGTTTTGTCTGACGAATGACACCACGGGGACAGAGCCATCCTGCTAAGGACCGGAGAGATGTATTTTTAAGAAGCAAATTTATGCATGAAGTCTTGATATAATTAGTAAAGGCTTTTTACGGAGCTGCCCTGTAGCAAAAAATATCCCTGATACGTGAAATTCATGTCCTTCCACGCACCTCTAGATCGCTACCGTGTCCCCACATACAGGCAAGGCGATAAGAGGGACCATGATGGCACAGCAAGGGCAGACAGGAGTGGGCAAGGAAAAATCCTGTCAGAATCAGGGCTGAGCTGTGTCACGACTGTGACGGGAAGCGGAGGGGAACGGGGACTTTGCTAGACACCAAGATCTTCCCCATAAGGTGACACATACCGCTGTGGGCAGGGATTTTGGGGAAGTTAGGCTATTCTTAGCATCCTTCTCCCACCTCCTCCTCTGGATATGTGTGCCTCATCACGATGCCCGGACTCTTTCTCACTGCTACAGTCACCGTCTGTGAACCCTACCCACAATATCACTACGAAGACAAAATGTTTATGATGTGTTTGCATTCAGAGAAAACTTCCCATGCGTGTAAAAAAAGTCATTGCTGGCAGTTTCTTCACCCTTCCCTTGCCCAAGGTCTAGCAGAGAACTTCTTTTACAGCGAGTTATTTATGGCCTGACAGAAGCACTGCTGACAATTTGAGATTCACAGCTCCAACCCTGGGCAACGAGGCAGATTTTTTTCTGAGAAAGTCTTCTACAGACAGCAGCAGGAAACAAACCCATCTTTAAAACAGGATGGGGGAAAGCCCTCTCCTGCTCTACTGAACATTAACGCTTGAGTTGCCTCTTCTGTTTGTCCTCATTAAGGTTTCTGCCACCACCTCGAAACATAGGGAGCTCAGGCTCTGAAAAGAGCTCATCAGGAGCTCAGGTTCTGAAATGTCCCCAACCCTGGTGGCAGGGCTGGGTTTCTGCTGCACGAGGTGGGGAATCATAGAATCACTTTGGTTGGAAAAGACCTTTAAGATCATTGAGTCCAACCTTTAACCTAACCCTGCCATCCCACCACTAAACCATGTCCCCAAGCACCTCATCTATCCTTCTTTTAAATACCTCCAGGGATGAGGACTCGACCACCTCCCTGGGCAGCCCCTTCCAGAGCCTGACAACCCTTTTGGTGAAGAATAAGGACCTGTGGGACCTCACCTCTCTCCCTCTTTCCTCCCTTCAGTCTGTCTCATCTACTCAGGTGGCTTCACCTGTTTTTAAGCTTTTTAAGCCCTTTCAGTGGGGGTTTCCACAACACTGGGATTTGCAAACTCAAAACATTGGGTTTGCAATCCCAGCTGTTGGGCTTCGCAAACCCTTGGACAAAGAGGTCTTGCTTGGAGCAGCAGGAGAAGCCAAGTATCCCTGCAGACGTAGGTTATTTTGGGGGTCAGAAGCGTTGATGTGGGCAAAGCAAACATCCACGCATCATGGGCACCTCTGCACTGCGACGCAACGGCTTGGGTGAAGAAGGACAAACTCTGAAGGCATTTACCTCCCTGAGGCAGGTATAAATGGGGCAGACAAGGACTCGAAAGGGCTCTCCGGTGCTGCTCCTCATGGTGCCGAAGACTTCGCAGAGGAAGGTGATGAACCCCAGCCAGCGCTCCACATCCCGCTGCTGCAACTCCTCCCGCATGGTGAAATCCTTCTGCAAGAGGGACAGAGACAACAGGCTGCATCAGCAAAACCGCATCGCCATGGGAGAGGCAACGGCTGTCTAGCGAGAGAATTAGGAGGAAATTGAAACTCAGGGTGGGGGGAGGAAGACAGACAGACTGACTCTTTAGTAACAGCGGGGAGATTACTCAACGCACACGGAGTGGCTGGAATTTCAACACAGCAAAGCCACCAGAAAGCAGGTACTGTAGAAATATCACCAACCCCTGCAATAACTGTCACGGCTTGCGCTAAAGGTGGCACCCCCCGTGCTCTGCCCTCCCCCTCGGACAGACACGGGGACTCTTGCCATACGCACAGCCAAGATCGCATAAAAACAGCAACAAAGAGGTTAAATGAAACGTAGGGGACACGCAATGAATGCTGGTGGCTATGCCGGGCTTGGTGGTCCAGATGGACCTGCCCAGCTTGTTCATTCCAGTATCTTCAGCAGACCCAGTGTCTGGCCAGGGGCATCCTAATGGCCTGGCTGTTCCCTGGGGTCTCACAAAATTACGGCAGAGACTGGCTCCCTGCCCGACCAGAAGAAGATCAGGGCAGCCTGGGCTTGGCATTAAAAGGTCACCCTGCTCCTGAGCTGATGGTTGCCATGACCAAGGATTATCTGAATGACGTGATTTATGGAGCAGCATCGGGAGGAAGTGTGCAGGGTGAGAGCTGCCTCCCCATCAGCCTGGGGAGAAAAAAAACGGGTTTGCCCGAAGGCAGGATATGAAAAGGGATGTGTGTGTGTTGGGAGTATGTGGCCAAGAGCAAGGGGCGACAGAGAAAAGCAAATAAAAACCTTCCTAGAAGATGGCACAAGAGAGTGCATTGCACTCAGAGCCAAGGTGGTTTTCCCTGGGCATCTGCGGTGATGCTGCAGAGCTTCTGGCACGATGTCCCACGCAACTTTACTTGTCTGTCTCCATAGGGACCTTTCCTCGATATTAAAAATTAGTCGACACCAAGGAGGGGAAAATTAAAGAACAGGACAAGTTCGTTCTCCACACCGTGCGTTCCCAGTGCGGGTTGCACAACATTTGAAATCCAGCAATGAAATAAATGATCTTCTATCTTTTTCATCTCAGTTTATTCCTACCGCCCGAGACAAAGGGCTTTGCCGCTGCGGATGCTCCGACCTGCAGCTGCACTCTGCAAAGCCCAGGGAGATGTCAAAGCCGCCACACCAAAGTTTGCTCTCCCGTCCCCAGCAACACACAGGACATCTTTCTTTTGAAGCCAAGGTTAAGTAAAGCAGCTGCTGAAGAAAGCCAGGTAAAAGCGTGATGGTTATCTTCATGACACAACGGTAGGCATGGAAAACCCAAGATGGGAGCTATTTATATATTTCATGACAAAAGGAAAAAAAAAATAAAATATATCTTTGCATATGCAGGAAAAAGACTTGTAAAATAACCGAGGCACTTATTAACCAAACAGTGATGACTAATTCTTCTCTCCACCCATTTCTATAAGGCAATTGCCCAACTGTGTCTGCGACTCCAAAGTCAACCTGCAGCCAAATCCTGTTGGGTCTTTTCAAACTCTCCAGGGGAGTCTGCAGAGTTCGTCCTTTCATTACCCAGCCGGTCCCAGGGCAGTGATGGAGGAAAGAGTTATTTGCTAGCTCAGGTTATCACCCCAGGGTTACCAAATTACTTGGTCTGGAGTTTTCACTTGAATTTTAATTTAAAAAAAAAAAAAGTCAAAGAGAAATGACCCCCTGACTATTGAGAAATTAAAAAAACCAAGTGAGAGAGCATCCTCTGCCCCTCGTCTGCACCAACGGGGACCTCCAGCCTCATCCACCCATAAGGTCACCCACCGGCCAACTCCACCCTTTGAACCCTGGAGCTCTTCCCTGATGGCCTGAGACCTCTCCATCCCCTGGCACGGAGTTGTCTTCTGCATCTCATCAGCATTCCACCTGGCTCCAGCCCCCGAGCCATCCTGCCCCTCCCAGGATGGATGCCCCCCAGCAGCCCCCCTGTCCTGCCTGGGAAGGTCCACACTGATGCAGCCCAGGAAGGGGGCCATATTTTGGGATCCCTGGGAAATTCCTTCTGGCTCGGGATAACCGCACAGGCTCTGTGGTCCCAGATTACTGGGAAAGAATAAAAAACACCACAGGAAACTATCCTCCTTCCCATTCCTTCTTCAAACACAAACACATTGCCCCGTCCTGCAGCCTTGCAAGAGAGAAAACTGAAACTTCAATACTTTCTGTTTAAAGACAATATTTTCTGTAAAAAAATCCACCAACCCAACCAACCAAACAAAAAATTGCCATAAACCAACCAAACTCATCAGGCTGGGATGGGAGCTGAGCAGGAAGGGATGCCACCACGCAGCACCCTCTTTTCTTCCTCCTACGGCACCCAGTGGGTGATACCACCCAGCAGAGACATCAATGAACACTCTGCCCCCAATGCTGCAGCTGAAGAAGACACTTGCAGAAGAAAAGGGGCTGGGGTCCTCTCCCAACTTCCCCCCCCAAGCCACCAAAAAGTTTGTGCAAGCTTCGATGGACCACCATGAAGGACAGGAGCAGGGGATTGAACACGGGATGGATGCAGAGGTCACCGTAAACATTTTGACCCAAAACATGATACTGCAGCGGGAATAACTTTGTTCCATTTGCAGCCTTGGGCTGGGCCAGATTTTGCCAGTACCCACAGAGCAACTCCCTGGGAGCAAAAGGAGATTGTTTGCATGTACTCTGCAAAAGGGGGGCTGATACTGATTCCTTTGACAAAGTAGGAAAAGCACCTTGCCAGAGGTAGGAACTATGTTTTTTGGACCATGCTTGCCTACAGGCAAGAGTTGGGCTTGCCAGGAGCTGAACCTCCATGGTAGCGTCAGGGCTGTCCCGAAGCATCCTGAGATACCCATCTTGCTTTGACCCCGCGGGGTGGTGCCACACCAGTGTCACGGTGGGCAGGAGGAAGGTGGCACAGGGAGCTTTGTCCTTAAATTTGGCCTTCAGACAGCAGGTTTGACCAGTACCATGGCACACACAGATGGGCGAGCCAACACAAATGCCACCTGCGCAGAGGTTTCCCACCTCCCTTGGGGTGTCCATGTTTGAGGAGACCACTGCTGTCATCTAGGTAATTTGGTTAAGAGTTACAGGTATGATTGACCTGGCTGCACGTAGGCCATGCTCCCAGCAGGACCCATGACCCATCACGCATGTAGAATGTGGAGAGCAACTCAACTGCTCCTCCAAAGGGTTTGCAACCAAAACAGATGAGCCAGACCACGAGCGTGGGAGAGGTGAAGAGCTTCCTGGCAGTGAAGAGCGGCTCAATGGAGAGGAAAACCCAAGTCCCGTGTGCCCAGGGCACATCCGGTGGAGCCGTGCCCTGACCCACAGACCTCTGCAGCACCAATGAGAAGCCTTGAGGAGGCTGAAGAGCACTGAAACCAGACGGCCGGGTCACTGCCCTGCCCAGTGAACTTTATTTGCTCTGGAAATGCCTCATGGAGTTATATAAAAATAACCTGTGGATTGGCTTGCCCCATGCTTAGGTGGTGATGTCAGGGCAGTAAGCAAATTATCTTTCATCAGTTTGGCTGTATTTTTAAACACAAATTGTATTACTAATTTGGGGGTGCCCTGGCCTGTAGATAATCTGGGTGCGTTTACTGGATGACCTTCCTTCAATGCCTATAGTTTAAAATAAAATGTATTTATACCAGGTAGCAGGGTTGACCTCCCTTCTCTGCCTGGTTTGGGAGAAGGGTTCACTGGGAAACCATGCAGCAAGTGGGGAGATGCCAAGGAGACCTCAGAAGTGGTCTCACACAGGACAGGTTTGGGGCATTGATCAGAAGGCTAAGCACGTTCATCGCACTGGGCTTTACCATGTGTGATGGGTAGGTCAGGGGTATTCATTGATGGGCAAAGGCAAGCATGCCACAGCTCAGCCCACCCTCTGACATCCCCCGTTGGAACCTTTCTAAGCATGGCAAGGATTCCTTGAGCTGAAGCTCCTGAATTCTGCCAGAAATGGAAATAGAAAATGCCTTTGTCTTGGGGTTCTCCACTCTTGCACCCAAGTCAAAGCCCACTCCTCGTCTCAGTGTAGATGCAGCTCATGCAATGCTATCCCTTCTTGACTCAGACATGAGATCTCTCCAAGACCAAGATCAAGCCTGAAGAACCAAGAAGACTTGGCCGCTCCATGGGAGAAGAGGAAAATCCCTCCTCTACCATTTTTGGTGGGCAGCAAAGTCAAGCGGGACGAAAAGCAGCATTTTGCCATCGGATCTAAGCCCTCACTCCAGCCCAGACAGCTGCAGCTGAAAATTCATCCCTTGGGAGTTTGCCACACTTTTTTTAAGACAAGTCCCAAATAACTTTTCCCCAGATCTGGGCCCACCGACTCTTGTCAGCAGCGAGTCAGAGGGCAAAAGTTTAGCGTGGGATAAAAATGAGGGTTAATTTAAGAATCGCCACCTTCTGATGGAAAAAAAAAAAAAAAAAAGACACATTTGGGCTTGTTGCTCTGTAAACACAGGGCTCTTCCTCTGGCAGCCCTGCTGTTTACTCAGTCATTGTCAAGGAGGCAGGAAATACTGAGTCAGAAATACTGCGCAAAAAGAAATCTATAACGCTTAGATATCAGCGCTAGGCACTATATAAAAAGCTGAGAGAGGCCGTGCTAAATACTTGATCTTACTGGCAATGTGCTACAAAAGGTTGGAGCCTTAAATGGCTCTTTGGAAAAGGCCTGAGACAAAGAAAATGGGTTGGAGGAGGGAGCTGGCGGGTAGAGGCTGGGACAGCATCCGTCCCTTGTCGCTCTCCCAGAGGAGTTTGCCCTCCGCCTGCTCCATCCCCAAGCCCTCCTAGAAAGGGCTCCGATAAATGACATTTTGCACCCTTAATATTCCTGCATTATTTCCTGTTTATAATTTAAATAATACTTGTGTTTAGGTTGCGGCTTGGAGGAGGCTCTGGAGCGTAGCTTTGCTTTCTGGGGA